GGGGAATCGAAGAAGGCTTAGAATCATATTCTATGTTCATGCAGTTTTGCAGGAAAGTGTATCTAAACCCCTGTTACATTTTTATTTCAAAAATCAATTTTTTTTGTATACTTTATTAGTTTCTTAACCCTTTGCTTGGCAACCCATATTCGTAGTGGAAAAGAACAATTAATTTTATGGCTTCAATTTAGTTTAAAAGGGCTAGTTGTCCCACTGATTAACTTTTAATGATGGTGGAAGGGAGATAAGAATAGCAAGATTCCAAATTTGCAGTTAATTTATTAGTCTAACTTGTTAGTCACTACATAAGGCCAAGTGAAGGGTACTGCATCTTTGTTTATTGAAAAGGACTATAATGAATGCTTTAAAGTCAAGAAAGGAGCTTTAAGAAATAATCCTTTTGGTTATTGCAAGTTCCAGGCTTTCTGTGTAATTTTTTATTGGAGCATGTGAAAAGAACTATGCAATTATGCTGTTGTCTGTATCAATAACCAAGCCTTAGCTCAAGTTAAAAGAAGGTCATAAGTGAATTTTGGTACACTATTAAGTAACTAGTTTCTTTTTAAAGCTTTCTTGCATTGATACTTCCCTTTCTATTAATTATTTGCACGTTTGTGTTTCTGTTCAACAGAAGCTTGCGGTACTTCTTGCTACTGCAGGAGCAGTCATGTCCATAAAAAATTTCAACAACTCCTTCAACAATAGTCATCAAAGATTAGGGGTAGCATTATATGGTATTATGTGGCTGCAAGTTCTAGTCGGTATTTTTCGACCACAAAGGTGAACCACCGAGTTGCCTTTTAGCCTTAGCTAAACCCCAAACTTAGGCAATGCAGTTACACTTTTCATATCCTTTAAATTTATTTAAAGATTTTTCATGTTCTATGTTCATAAGTTCTGCATACAAAGAAGGATGATTAGGGTACAATTATTCTCTTGTTTTTCACAGGGGATCCAAAAGAAGAAGTCTGTGGTTCTTTGCACACTGGATAATGGGAACTACAGTGTCATTACTGGGTGTCCTAAATGTATTCATCGGCTTACAAGCCTACCGAGAAAAAACATCTAAAAGCATAACAACTTGGAATATACTTTTCAGTGTTCAGATATGTTTGATTGTGATCTGCTACCTTCTTCAAGAAAAATGGGTCTACATTCAAAACCAAGGAGTGGTTTAAGACAACTGAGTACAAACTACTGATTCCTACTTATCAAAATGCTGACTCTTGCTAAGAAAGATGTCTTATTGCTTTGCCATGTTTGCAAGTATTTGAAACACATAAGGGTACTGATAGACGTGAATTTCTCTCCATGTATGTTTCTGTTAGTTTCTTTTTTCTACAGAGAAGGCACAGTCATTGAAGAGTTTGTAATATCTTCTTGTGAGATGCATTTTTTGTTGTGTTCTCCTAACAATCAGTTCTGATGTTTTTTTTTTCGAACATTGAATTGTTGAGGCTTGTATACTTCATGGAAATAGAACAACATATTACCCAAGATGTTTTTCAATGTTTAGGGACATTGTTTGTCAGTGTTTATAAGCATTTCAAAATACAAAGAACTTTCTAACCAAAAGGGAAAGACAGAAACTATAACTAAAACAGGAGAAAACAAAACATTAGTCTGAGAAATTCTGTTAATATGACATTGATGTATCACTAAGTATCTTAATTGTATCACATTTCAAGGAAAAAGCTGTACATAGCCTGTTAATATAGCTATTCCTAGTATTATAAAAGGTGGAAGAATCACAAATGCTCCTATGGTTGCAAAGAAAACTGAATCATTCCTTTGTGACACTTCATTCAGGTAAGCTTGTCTTTTGATATTTCTCTTTTGTGAAATGGTCAAGAACTTTGCACTCACTTTCTTCAAGTTTTTACCCAGTGGTATGCTGAAATCATCATCCCTTTCTCCAACCAGCTGTGCAAGCTGTTCTCGTATTGTAAGTTTTCGAGAGCTACCATCACTTTCATAGCCTATAAACCAGAAATGTTTCAATCTGTCATCCTTTTTTGAAAATTAAAAAAGAAAAAGAACCAACTATTAGAAAGAGGTAATAACAAACAGACATGGCTATAAAATTTCCATTTTTTCACATAACTGGTGGCACAAACATGCATTTCAGGAATGATTCATAAAAGGCATGGGAGAATTTTAAAAAGTTAGACAATGTAAGATGGGGAGAAAAGGTACATTATCATACGCCAAAAATGTAGATTTTACTCTTAAATGAAAAAGCTTTAGCTGATTTTTATCTGATGTCAGTTGCTATTATGTTATCACAAACTAACCTTATATCTCCATTAATTGAGCAAGTGTTTGAAGAAGGAAGAAAGGGTGCATTCACAGCTGATTTAATCGGTTAAAAAATTAAGGACAAACATCCTTATTTTCTCACTTACACATTTCCTCACATTAAAGGAGCTCAATTTCATTCAACTTTAAACAATTACAATGCCAAACACATAATCTTGGACCAACAAATCTTATTACATAAGCCAAATTTTACCATGAATTTGGTCTATGCTTAATAGTGATACCATCGTTATTGTTTCTTTTCTAAATTTGTACACTTACAAGGGGGACAAGGTAACATCAAAGTCAAGCTTTTTCGTGGTTCCATTGATATTTTAATGATCAAGCAGCTACATTTGAACCTTGTGGTCTCAAAAAAGTACCTATACTCTTGCTTTCAATTGCTTTATTAATGACAATAGAACAAACACATTCTCCAGCCATTTATATATCTTCTACATATTTCATTCATTAAAACTAAAACTTAACAAAAACAGAAAAAGACCTTCTAACAGTGATAAAAAAAAAGGCATTACAACAATAGCAGAAGACAACTCATTTGTCTCCCCTTCACATATCATTGATTTAAATAGAAGATGTTAGTTTGAATACCAGTGTTTGGTGAGCTTGTAGATGTAAGTTGCTCCAAAAGATCCAACTGGGCACGAGAAGAAGATAAAGATCCTGGCAACACAAGTCCTCAGAAGTCAAGTCAGATATGAAAAAGAACTGCATATTGTAAAATTTAGAAGATTTTTCACAGAAATTTCAGCTGTTAAAGATAAAAACATTACAGCAAAACTTGACACACAGTGAAGAAATTAAATTAAATTGCAAAAATTTCAAATTCAATGAAAGTCCAGACTCATTTCTCCCCTTGTAGCCACGTGGATGCAGCAAATATTAAAATACAGCTGACATAACTTCTAACTTTTCTGAACATCAGTGGAGTGCCAACCATCCAAGAAAGCATAAATTCCTTTGATATGTTTAAAGAAACATAAAGAAACTAATATGGAAATCCATGGTAATCTTCTTAAGCCCATATTTGAATTGAAAGAGTGAAATATATACCATTTCCAGAAGAAGCATCTGGGTATGAGATTCCAGTGTCAGTTCCTTGTGTTTGAGCACATGTTGTGAGGAAAGAGGAAGAAGGGTGAGAGAATTTGATGGGGTTGTTATGTTTGTGTGTGAGAAATGAAGGCTTTGAGTGAAGAGAAGCAGTGGTAGTGAGATTGATGGCCATGCAGTGAGTTTTTGAATTAGATGCTAATGCCATTCATTCGTTCGTTTTGGTTTCAGCTTTGCATTCTAAGTGGCCAAAGGCGGCACTTTCCTGCCACAAATATTATCTGTGGAGGATTCTAGTTCTGAGTAGGACCACAACAATCACTCTTCTAAATAAATCCCCACCGTTCAAAAACATTTTCTTTTTTCTTTGCTTAATAAGGTCATAACACAATGTCAAGTTTATATAATGTCCTTTTCTAGGTGGAATTATGGCTTAAATTAATATTCTCTAGGTGCATTTTATTATTTTTTAGGTGATAGTTGTGTGTGTAATTATTAATGTTTTTATTATTACTATAAATTGTTTTTTCTTCTTAGTGTTGAGAAATCATACACCTATAATTATATTTTAGATACCGATTAAAGGAATTTAACGAAAATCATTTTATTTGATCATCTTAGACATTTTTATCAAAAGCTTACTTGATATAAAAGAATAAAATTCTTTGTGAATAAAAATCATATTTAATTTTTTATTTTACTTTTTTTTCTTGAATTAAAAAATATCCAATAAAATTTCTTTGGGACATCATTTCATTTTTCTAAGAAATCAAAACCTTTCTAATTCTTTCATTTTGTAATTATTTATTCTCGAATATTTTGCAGCCCAATCCTCATTATTAACTTTTAAGTCAATTTATCTACTTCTTTAATTAATCACTTATAAAATTATTATTATATTTGTACAATACAACAACAACAAATTAAAACAATAGAATGGTATTGGCAGAGAATAAGTTCCAATTCCACTGAAATAATAAAGCAATGGTATGTATTCTGTCAACTTGTTGGTTCCACAACTTTTTTTATTTCAAATTCAATTAAACAATTCACTTTAAAAATTAATTTTTAGAATACAGAAAAATAATAAAAGAGCTTTTGATAGAATACAATGTCATGGAGTGTTTATTTGGAGAAGAATAAGTTCCAATTCACTGAAAAGCATTTAAATAAAGCAACAGCACCATTTATTCTTTGGCTTAATATTACAAAACTAATAATAATATTACAAAACTAATTATATTTTCTTACTTTTATTTATATCATTTCCTTTTAATCGGTTCTAGTGTTCTCTTTTTATTTAATAATGTTATCCGAAAGGGAATCCTTTTGATGATCACATTTATTTTTATTTCTTATTCGACATTTTTTAATCATCTTTATTGTAATTTTATCTTTTTTAATAAATAAAAAAATTATTTATAAAAAATCCTAAAAATAAGAATCAAACTTTTGACTCAAAAGAACTAGCCATTCTTTTTTAATTTTGAATATTTTCTAATATATATATATCTGAAAATTGTATTATTGTTTAAATTTAAAAGAAATGGATCCTAAAACGTGTTTCCTCTGCTTACATAAAGTAAATATCCGTGTGTTTTGAGAGTTAATACTTCAATTTCCAGTTAAATGAAGCAAAAGCTGCTGATCGTAGTTTTAAAGTGCACGTGGACCCAAATGTTTCAGACGCGTCACCGAAACCAATCGTTCAACGTTGGTTTGGGCAAGTTGGCACCTTTTCTTAAGAAGATGCACACCGTCTCTTTCTCCCTCACCATGCAACGCAGACAACAATATTAAAGAAACCAACAAGGTTTCTGCTGTTATCTACTACGTTAATGGCCAAGCAGGTTGTTCCTCCTCAATCTCACCCATATGCCTTTCATGTCTCTGGCCCTCGCAATTTCACTTCCCTCAATTGGAGGGACCTTATTGTTTCAAGTTGGTAATTACCCATTTCAATTCTCACTTCAATTTCGCTTCTTGCATTTCCTCATTCTTCATCCCTTGCCTTTGATCTGAACATTTTTTGAATTTGCCACTGGTTAATGTTTGTTGGGGTGTTGAAAAGAGAGAAAGTGGTGTGCGTGGTTTCTACTGTGAAATTTCTTTGTTTGCTGATCGGTTTTGAAAATGTTAGAACAATGGGTTGGATCATGTCGGTGTGAAGTTGTGAACTTTACCAAATGGGTTTCCAAAGTTTTTTACTTTTCGGTTTCTGATAATTGAAGCAATCGTCACGAAATGAAAATATAACATAATTTATCAACTGATTTTATTCATAGTGTTGAAATAGAACTGGGTTGTTTGGATTCCAAGACCTAAAAGATAGAAATGATCGAATTTCCAAATCTGCAGAGGTTAATAATATATACTTTTTGTGGCTCTCATTGCGCTGTTGTTAATCAAGGACTGCCATTTCTTCCATTTCCAAGTTATAATTTTTTTTCTTCATTATCTGTTTGTTGTAATCTTCACCATGATACCCGATTTCTTAGTTACATTATTTAAGCATTCGGAAAAGAATTTTGGGGCCTTAATATAGTATTATAATTTTTATTATTTTCTTCTGAGATTTTACTTCGGTAGAGATTGAACTAGTTTACTCGGTGTTATGAATTAGCTTAAATTTATGTACCTTGGTAATCCAGGCTTGTTTTAGAAAAAAAAAAATAGCTTAATGTATCCGTTTTCTGAAAGGGAAATCTAAGAAAGTTAGAGTAATCACTTCTCATAAATATAATATTCATTCCCAAATCAAACATGTACACATACTCTGCAGGTTCTGCATTAAAGTGATTTCTGACACAAGTCCAAACTCACCCTTAGAAGCTTTTTTGTTTTTCTCTCTTTTAGAGCTAACCAAGTCATCTTAAATTTTGGTCTATAAGATCCTTTATTGTTGGGGTTAACTCAAGCAATCAGTCAAATTTGATGGAAAGGTTTGATAGTTTAAGTTTCACTCACATTCTTTAGAAACATACATGAATGCTGATATTGTTAACGTAATGCAGNACTGTGAAATTTCTTTGTTTGCTGATCGGTTTTGAAAATGTTAGAACAATGGGTTGGATCATGTCGGTGTGAAGTTGTGAACTTTACCAAATGGGTTTCCAAAGTTTTTTACTTTTCGGTTTCTGATAATTGAAGCAATCGTCACGAAATGAAAATATAACATAATTTATCAACTGATTTTATTCATAGTGTTGAAATAGAACTGGGTTGTTTGGATTCCAAGACCTAAAAGATAGAAATGATCGAATTTCCAAATCTGCAGAGGTTAATAATATATACTTTTTGTGGCTCTCATTGCGCTGTTGTTAATCAAGGACTGCCATTTCTTCCATTTCCAAGTTATAATTTTTTTTCTTCATTATCTGTTTGTTGTAATCTTCACCATGATACCCGATTTCTTAGTTACATTATTTAAGCATTCGGAAAAGAATTTTGGGGCCTTAATATAGTATTATAATTTTTATTATTTTCTTCTGAGATTTTACTTCGGTAGAGATTGAACTAGTTTACTCGGTGTTATGAATTAGCTTAAATTTATGTACCTTGGTAATCCAGGCTTGTTTTAGAAAAAAAAAATAGCTTAATGTATCCGTTTTCTGAAAGGGAAATCTAAGAAAGTTAGAGTAATCACTTCTCATAAATATAATATTCATTCCCAAATCAAACATGTACACATACTCTGCAGGTTCTGCATTAAAGTGATTTCTGACACAAGTCCAAACTCACCCTTAGAAGCTTTTTTGTTTTTCTCTCTTTTAGAGCTAACCAAGTCATCTTAAATTTTGGTCTATAAGATCCTTTATTGTTGGGGTTAACTCAAGCAATCAGTCAAATTTGATGGAAAGGTTTGATAGTTTAAGTTTCACTCACATTCTTTAGAAACATACATGAATGCTGATATTGTTAACGTAATGCAGGAAGGATGCAAATTACAAGAAAACTGTGATTGCCTGCTTTGTACAGGCAGTATATTTGCTTGAACTTGATAGGCAAGAGAAGAGAACACAGGGAAATAGTCTTGCTCCAAATTGGTGGATTCCCTTCAAGTACAAGTTTAAACAAACACTGGTTGATGCAAGAGACGGATCCATTTTTGGTGCGATTCTTGAATGGGACAGATCTTCTGCACTGTCTGAGCTGATACCAATGAGACCAAGTGGTGCCCCCAGAGCAGTCTTAGCACTGAGAGGAACTTTACTGAAAAGCCCTACAATGAGAAGAGACATAGAAGATGACCTCCGTTTTCTCGCTTGGGAAAGCTTGAAGGGTTCTGTGAGGTATAAAGCAGCTCTGGAGGTACTAAAATTGATCTGTGGTAAATATGGAAGCAACAATGTATGCATTGCAGGACATTCATTGGGAGCTGGTTTTGCTCTTCAAGTTGGGAAGGAACTAGCAAAAGAAGGGATTTTTGTGGAGGCACATTTGTTCAATCCACCTTCTGTTTCACTAGCCATGAGTTTCAAAAGTATTGGAGAAAAGGCTGAGTTTGTGTGGAACAGACTTAAATCCAAGCTTCCTTATGGTTGTAGTAGTGATGCTCACATCAGTAACGATGCAGACATATGTTCAGGTGCAGGATTGAAGAGTAAGATGCCTCAAGCATCTGGTTCTGATATGGCAAAATGGGTTCCTTATTTGTATGTTAACAATGGTGACTATATATGTTGCTACTACAATGATGGTGGTGGCACAAAGGGAGAAGTTGCAGCAAAGGTGTTTGTTGTGTCTAAGGAGAAACAGAGGTTTGTTGAGGCTCATGGCTTGGAACAATGGTGGTCAAGTGATGCAGAACTTCACCAGGTTATCCATAGCAGCAAGCTCATTACCAGACAGCTTAGATCTTTATACACTGCTACTCCTTCTCAATTGCATTCATAACAATAGGGGGGTCAAATGTAATTTAACGTAAAATCAAATCAAATCAAACAACTAATTTAAGTTTTGGCTCTTCTGATAAAATATAAAACTAATCATGATTAGTTCTAAAATCTTTTTCTCGAGAGTTGTTTTCTCTCTATACATGTTTTCAAGGGAATAATTTTACATGTGTATGTTGTATTTTATATTTAGTTTATAAACCAAGACAATTTGTTTTTGACAACATTGATATAAAGTATTTATCATTTTATTGGAAACTAATTTCTAGAATAAGTTTTATTATTTATTTTAAAAGAGGAGAGCGTTTTATTATTTATTAATTCATGTGAAAGAAATGTCTAACACTTTGTTTGTTTGAAGATGGGAACGAATAGCGCTGATTTGCAATATGAAGCACTTTTTTCATCTCTGGGAATGTAATGAGATTTGAAGCAGAGCATTCAGCACCAGATAACAAAGCATAATTACTCCTTCCCACAGTTTCACACCAAATATTTTATATAATGTTTCTTTTAATATCAAAATTGTTTTACTTTACATTATACAGAGTTAAGTGTAACTTTCCTTCGTTATTTTTTATTTATTTCATATTACATAATTTAATGTCATTTAGTTTAATTTAACAGTTTCTGTAACAATTTTTATATCAGTAATCATATTTCTTTTTCTTATTCTGTAACAATTTTTATATTAGTAATCATATTTCTTTTAATTTAACTATTTAAGATAATTTTAAAACGTATAATTAATTTTTATTAATTTTAATTTTAACTTTTTAATAACTGATTATTATTTTCTTAAAATTTATAATAACTTAGGTTATAAAAGACATAATTACAAAAAAAATTAATATTATTTCACTTTATTAATTAGCAAATAAAAAACATTTTCTTAAATAATAAAATTCAAATTAAAATATAGATATAATCTATAAAATTAATTATTATTTTTTTCTTTTTATAAATATTTTTATAATTAAATATAACATTAAAAATTATCATTTTATATTACTTTTATAACTACTTTTATAATTAGAAGCATTTTGATAATCTTCAATTTCTACCAATTAAATAATTTTTTATGTATCGATCAAATCTTATACTAATTCTTACAAATTTTATTTTTAAATTTATTCTCTCATCTCCAAAATTTTTTAAAAAACGAATAATTAATTCATTCTCAAATTAATCTTCTAAAACACATCTCAAAGCATTGGATTTATTTTATAAAGTGAACACACATTAGAGCATTCGATTTTTTAGCCATTAGAATCAACTTCACACGTTTTTAAATCCAGTACATATGACTAAAGATAATTAAAAAATGCGTTTCTATAACTCGTAAAATAAAAATAATTAAACCAACCTAATTATTGGAAATTGGTTATTGTTACTTGAATAAGAGTGAAAATAAAAGTACGAGACTCATAATAAATTTTACAAATATATTTATTTCTTTTAATTTAAATTAATTAAAAAATAAAAGACATAAGCCTATAATAGGTAAAGCAGAAATTAATATAATCTTGAAATTAATAATAATAAAACGTGTTTAATTAATTAATTTCACCACAGAAATTTAAAGTATCAAAATGTGCCAATTTGACTCGCAAGATCATACACATAAATCAACTCAACCTATTCTATAAATCGATTCATTATGAATTAATATAAATCAATTTTATAACTAACTCATTATGAATTAATGAATTAAGTAGATTAACTAACTTAATAATGATTATTCTTCCAATCTATAATAATTATTTTTTCTATAATTAAAATATTCACCTATTTAATAAAATATTAATAAATAAAAATATGTTAAACATTTAAATTATTCAAATAT